TTTTCTGTAGGCTAGTGTTTAAATCTACCCAAAATCTGTACAAACACAGAAACATGGAATGTCATGTAAAATTTTTACATGAACGGCATTCCTTACTTTAGTCTTAATTTAGAAGCTGTAATCTGATCACCCATTCCCACACTGTGGACTTCAAAAAAATATAGGGAGAAAGTAAATTTTCAGGGGATCGATCCTGTCACAAGAATAGCGATTTCTCGAAACCATATTCCAATCCCATCTCTCCGACACAATCACCTCTTTTTTGTCACTGTTAAACTAAATCCCGAACAAAATTCCCAGAAAATAACTAGCTTTAAGACAGCCATTACCTTGAAGCTTCTTGTCAGCTGCAGCCTCCAGAAATGCAGCCCCTCCCCCAAGACTGGCCACGCACAGATCACTTCCAAGCTTTAGGAGGATGCTCCGCCTCCTCCCAGGGAAGGGGAAAGCTGGGGGCCTTTCCCTCAATTGGAGGGAGGAGATTCGCCAAGTTAAACTGAAATCACTTAAAGGGGAAAAACATTCATTTTAAAAGGACTTGTGAGTGAGATGACAACACGTGTCTGTCCTGTCCTTTCCAGTGACACTATAGGGTTAGGCAATTTCCTGAAAAGTGAAAAAATCTCTATTGTACCATAAAGATCCAGTTAAAAATATCTTGTTATGTATTTTATTTGCCTTTATGGTTCTGTGTAAGCACAAAGATTTTAAGGTTCAACTGGTGAAGGTTCATTAAAATCGACAAGCTAAGATTTTGCTTATGTGCTAAGATCTTGTGTTTGTGTTTTCCGCGAATTAATACATCATTTTTGTAGAAATAAATTGCTGCAAACTTAATGCTTCTGACTCTGGGCCATGAATATATCCCGATTTATTCCCCTGTGTAGTAATTTGACCTACAGAAAGTTTCCTCACATTTAGAAGAAAAGTGATTTCTAAATATGAAACTTGAGCCAAAATCCTTAAAGATACATGTATCTGAATATACAAAAAATTAAAACTATCTCTAGAAAAAGCACAATAAACCAAGTTGAAAATACAGCTTGCCTCCTATTTTTTATTTAAATATCTCTAGTGTTGCCTTTTTAGAAATTACTCTGATAAATTCCAAAACTGAAAAAATGAGCAAAGTCAAAGATAGCCAATTCACAATATTCTTAAAGAATAATTTTTCCCAGCTCCCTAAATTTAATTTTTCATGAACCAGATAGTATAATGTAAGGGATGCCTGATGCTTTAGATTATATAAGGACAATTTAAATCTAAGAACAAACAACTACTCTGAGACTTAAAATCCCCCTAAATAAAAATTTACCTATTAGTTCTAATGTGCAATTTCATTGTCTTATATCAATTATTTTGTTATTTTTAGTGGAGAAGGAAGGTGCTGCTCATTGGGGCTCTTCAAAACTCAAACATGAAATAAAAAATGATTATGGATGTGGACACTGGAGGTGGGACTGGAGTTTGAACTCTGTATGTCTGAAATTCTTGTCAATAACTTTGTAAATCATGGTGCCTAATTTTTAAAAATTAAATAAAAAATTAAAAAACTGAACAGTGCATAATAAATATTCACCTTCTCTAATAATCAAAGATGAAAACATAGCAGTGAAATTTCATTTCTATAATTAATTTAACTTCTTAATAAATAAAGAAATGATACATTGAATGAACAGCTGGCAAGAGAATGAGGAAATGGGTACTCTTTTATGAGCTAGATCAGAAAGCAGGGAAGAGAGCAGGATGAAATCAAAACAAGTATTTCTGAATTTCAAACGGGAGGATATGTTCTCTCTGCATCAGTACTCACTGTCTTTTGGGCTTAAGGATGATGTCATCCACCTTCGGACTCTGAAGAAACTAGTAAATGTTACCACCCTGAATGCGCCCGACTCAACTGAAATTGATGAATATAATCTATTCAAATTGATGAATATAATCTATTTCCAGTGAATACATCGAAGTACAAGCAATGTGTAATTCAGTCATCTTCAGTCACTACCATATTTGTCTATTAAACTTTTCATCTCTTACATACATTCACATTCCCATACCAAAAATATTTTTTTGCATCATGCTTTTCGCTAACCACTGATATCACATATCTGTATGATAGCATTCACTTGTCAAAATTAGTTATGACATATCTCATTTGTGTTGCAGTTTCTGGCAGTAACTTCCATTTCAGATATGGCAATTTCTAGACAGCTGCTAAAAATTCTTTATGCTTACTAGAGCCCATTTCAATCCACCCTCACTTACAATGAGCAGCTACTTTATCTTGTGTTTTGTTGTTTACAGTTGCTAATTCATTGTGGAAAATTGCATTTTGATCCTCATTTATCTCTTTGCTCACAAAATGGTGAAGAAATTAAAATTTAAATTCATATTTCTTATTGCCTTTAGCATTGAGCTCTTATTTCTCAGAGTGCTAACAAAAACTATCAACTATAAATGGGTAATTATTCTGAGGGTTATGTCTCATAAGATAATACCATGCTGAATTTAAAAAACTATTTTAAAGTGTAAATGGTAAGGCCCCAGCAACTCCACCCATTATCACAATGACCAGGTAAACATAAACTCTATGTCTTTAAACATGACTCCTCTGACTCTTCTGATTAAACAGAAAAGAATTGAGGTATGACACTGTTCTTACAGAATATAGAAAAGAGGAAAAAAACTGTCTGCAGTGAGAAGTCTAAAGAAAGAAGCCATCATTCATTCTTCAAGAGACACTTAAGAGAAGAGCTATGTTATAATATTACAATTATTCCAGTGAAGTATTTGAATATAAAGCATGGATGCTTCTTTGGATTTTTGTTGGCAAATTCAATATTGTGATTTTTAAAAAAAATTTGAGCCACACCTGGAAGTGCTCTGAGCTTTCTCCTAGCTCTGAGCTCAGGAATCATTCCTGGTGGGGTTAGGGGGACAAAGCTGGAAATTGAACCCAGGTTGGCTGCATGCAAGGTAAGCACCTTACCAACAATACTATCATTTCATTCCAATATTTGGATTTTAAGATTTGTCACTGAGGCATCATAACATTTATGTTTTTGAAGTTTTCGAATAGGTAGACTGGAAGGCAGTGGTGGTTTGAGGTTTTTCTTGATCAGTGAAGAGATAATTTTCAAATTTGAACAGCTCTACTTTTGCTTCACCTCCTCATACTTGAGAGAATATTTAAGAAAGATATATGCAAATCAGAAGAGTAAACATGATCAGTCAAAGAAGGTTAGAGATATGGAAAATATTTGGTGGGAGAACAAAAACTGAATAGGATAATAACAAAATCTCCTATCTCATCTTCACTACTTTTATTGTATTATTTGAAGGGGAATATGCATAGGAGGGGCTTTTGTACTGTCAGGAACATGTTTACTCTGCTGATTTGCATACCTCTTTCTTAAATATTCTCTCAAGTATAAGGAGGTGAAGCAAAAGTAGAGTTGCTCAAATGTGAATAACTGGATCATTTGGGTCTTTTGATTCCTCAAGAAGGAATATCATGAAATAATATTATATTTTAATGTTTCTTAAGCTGACATTATTGCTCTTTCTGTTCAAAGCAACCAAAGATCCCCCAGACACACAAGAGTTTGATTCAGGATAAACAATATCATCAAGAGCATAAATTTAGGAGTGACTGATCTGTGATGCATTTTAGGAAAGAATTATTAAGTGTGCTAAATCAATGCAAAATATGAACAATATAGTAAGTATATATACAATTTAAATGTATTATTTAAATGCACATTTAATATATAATTATGTTAATTAGATCATCAATAAACTTAATAAGCACATTAAAATCATGATGTCCGGGACCAATACTCGGAGTTACTGCTGGTTCAGTGCCAGGAGGCACTTCTGGAAGTGCTCAGGAACCATATGGTCCTAGAAATCAAATACAGGCTTCCCACATGTAAAGTATGCCTTACAGTCTGAATAGCTTTATATTTGGCCCACAAAATACTATCCAAGAATAGATGTAGATCACTATTTAATTATAAAACCTTAGGTGGGTGGTATTAAGAAATTTTTGCAACGTTGCTATTTAATTTGTAGTAATTACACATAGCTGTCAAGAACTGGAGAGTCAGCTAATATTGGTTAGGACTTCAGCAAGCCTCTTGCAGGATTTCTTCATATTTTGTGTTAATCATATGAGATTCTTTTTCTGCTCTTTCTTTCTCTCTCTATCTCTGTCTCTCTCTGTCTCTGTCTCGGTCTCTCTTTGACTCTTTTGGTCACACCCAGCAGTGCTCAGAGCTTACTCTTTTTCTTAATTTTATTGAATCACTGTGATTTACAAGCTTTCATATTTGGGTTACAATCACACAATGATCAAACACCCACCCCACAACCTATCCCATGTATACCCCCTTTCCCACCCTCCCCCTGCCTCCATGGCAGACAAGATTCCCCATACTCTCTCTCTCTCTACTTTTGGGCATTATGGTTTGCAATACTGAGAGGTTATCATGTTTGGTCCTTTATCCACTTTCTGCACACATCTCTCAAACCGACTGGTTCCTCAAGCCATCATTTTCTTAGTGATCCCTTCTCTATTCCAGCTGCTGTCTCCTCTTTGCTCATGATGCAGGCTTCCAGCTATGGAGCAATCTTCCTGTCCCGTATATCTACTATCCTTAGCTGTCAGCCTCGTGTTAGAGCTTACTCTGTGTCAAGGATGCCCCCTGGTTGTAGGCAAGGATCGAACTGCATTTGTGTTCTTGAAAAGCCAGCACATTAATCCCTATACTATCTCATCAACTCAGCACACGAGATACTTTCCCCAAGTTAGAAGCTTTGATTTGCAAGTACAAAAATGATACAGAATAAGGACCAAAAATATAATTAAAATTCTCAATCCAACATGATTTTAAGATGCAATATAAGTTCCAACTTAAAATGTTCCTAGTTGCGGAGCAGGAAGCATAATAAACATTTTCTTAACATAAAAAGGTTTTATGGTACGGAAAGAACCTTACTCAATGTCACATGGATGGTTGGTAGAGCGTCTGGTTCTGTGATCTGGTTATCTTAAATCTCTCCAACTGCTTGTTCAGCCGTCTTCTCTGCTGCTCAACACTTTTGCTGTTCAGATTGCCTTTCCAGGGCCCAACTAGAACACAAGCAAATTTCTTAGATCATGTGAATTTTTAATACTAATCTCATTTGTTCAAAAGGAGACATGGAAGGAAGTCTATTAAATGGAAGTGGCCTACAGAAACTTCCCTAACAAAATCTTAGCAGCCATGCCTCTAGGTAACAGGAATAAGATGAAATTTCACCAATGATACAGATGCCACATTTGTTTCCTTTTTGGTTTTATTAATTGAATTTATCTCTGTGATACAGTTATATTATTTGGGTTGATGCTTAAATCATCTGTCTCAGGAAAACTATGAGGTAGGGACCAGAGAGAAGGGAATTAACAAATACCCTGTGTCTTCCTTAAGCCACGTCTCGTACCCACATTTTTTGAATTTTCACATAAATTCATTTCTCCATTTTTCCTGTTAGACACGTAAAACTTCTATAGATAAATTTAATCATACCGCACGTGTTTTCATAACACACAAATATAAAATACTTTATGGCTTTGTCCACTTCATGAAAAATGGATGCCTGGAAAAAATTTAAGAAATCCAGCAAGCACCATCTTGTGACCAGAACCAGAACTGCAAACACTCAAATCCTGAATTTCTTATTTCACAAGGTTGAGAAATACAGAGAAGCCTTCTGGAGAATTCTCAAATTACTCATCCTCAAGCTGATTTGTGTGTGTGTGTGTGTGTGCGTGTCATAAAAACAAAGTAGGAACGGTGCCAGAGATAGTACAAGCAAGTATGACTGTTGCTTTGCACAAAGCCAACACAGATTTAACCCCCAACTCTGCATATGCTCCCCTGAGCCCTGCCAGGAGTGATTCCTGAGCACAAATCCAAGAGTAATCTCTGAGCAATGCTGGATATGACCCAAAAGTCATCTACCAAAGAAAAACAACAGCATCATAAGTCCTCATTTTACTGTATTTTGAATAATATTTCTCACATTTACTAAGCATCTTTTTCTTCTGATGAAGAAAGCAAATCACATAAACAGTCAAAATATAATATTTTGCTCTATATATTTATATATATTTCCCTACAGTTATACAGGTATATGTTTTAAACATATTTTCATCCATATCTAGAATATACCACCATTTTCTATGTTAATGAATATCTATTTTTATCTACCATCTTTTGTGAGTTACTTTTAAAAAATTTTACAGTGTTTTTAAAATTTTATGTTATTTTCTTATAATGATGATAATGCAAACTTTCTCTTTTCACAGTAAGATAGGAGGGAGTTTAGCTATATGCTTCACGTGCTCAGGGCTTACTACTGGGTATTATGAGGGGGGTGAGCCACACCCCAATGTTCTCAGGGATCATTCCCACTGATCCCTGTGATGCTTGAAAGGAAGTAGGGGGAATGCAGTCATGGTAAATACCTTAAGTCCTTTACTATCTCTCTAGCCCAAAGATTTTTTATTTATATGTTTTTGGGCCACAATTGGCTTGCTCGGGTCTTTCTCATGGCTCTGCACTCAGGAATTACTCTTGACAAGGCTCAGGGGAACTGTACAGGGTGCTGGGAACGGAACCGGGTGAACCACGGGCTAGGTAAGCCCCCTATCACTATCAATGCACCTTCTTGCCCCAAGATCTTTTGAATGTAAAAAAATAAAATGTAAAATGCTGAACTACTCTGTATCTCCAGTTACATTTATATCTCCAATAAATAAAGTGTCAGGTATATTTCCAGATCTTTCTTTCGTATATCATACCAACATGACAAAACTCATTCTGTAGGTTATGTATGTTAAGCTATAGTATTGATGTCTTTTCTTATTACATTTTGCTCATTGCATTGTCTTATTATTCTTACAACTATATAATATTCAAGATTATAGATGTTCAATCCTACATGTTTATTCCATGTTTCAAATTTTGGGGGAGTATTTTTCCCAATTACTTTAAAATGTAGGCAAAATCTTTAAAATCTTTGGTGTGAACTATATTATGAACAGTTAAACAGTTGAGTTGCATCAATAGTGTAAGTAGCATACTAACCAGCCTTCTTAAATCCACAGAAAAATATACCTTTGACTAAAGACAATGGAGTTTTGTGGCAACCTATTTAAGGACTATAACAAAATATGTTGTTACTTTTGTAGCTCTGTTATGCTGTTTCCACAAAAATCTAAAGGCACGCGGGACCTAAAGAAAAAAAAATACACATTGCCAGTACATGTTCTTCACTGCTTACATTTGAGCCTTATCTCTTTGATTTCCCCCACATATATGTATATATACAAATGTATAAATATACTATTTTAAACTATAGTTATTCACTTATATATTTAAAAACATTTTCATAATATTTATGTCTATATTTTTTACATATTTAGAGAAGATAGTTTCTCCCATGTTTTTTAATCCTCATCTCAATTATTTTTTATGCTGAGGTAGATATTACATGCTATGTGAAATGTGGGGAAAGAAATGGAAACGTTCTTTTTTACTTACACATCTTTTATTACTAGAGATAATTGCTTTTTAGTTATATTAATATGCCATTATTTACTTTATAATCTTTCAGATATTTTCATATTACAGTACCAATAGGCATATGTAAATCTCGTTATATATTATATGAAGAGACACAAGCAGAAATGAGCGTGGGCACGTAAAAGAAGAATCTTCTAAAATACTACGTAATTCCTGAGAAAGAACTCAACTTCTAATTCTCTGAGGTACTTAAAATTTCAGCTATATATTACTTTAGAAGATCACTATGCAAACATCACCAAAACAGTCAAACTTGTTGGAAACACAATCGAGGCAGCCAAAGTCATAAAAAAAAAGCCAACTCCCACAACTACTTTTGCATTTGGGGTGATCATCATCCTTTCTTATTTTTCCAAAGAAGAAAAGAAGAAAATCAGTGTCTCTGATTCGGTGTCATCATTTATCTTACCCCAACTTTTTGACTAAAACCTAAAACGCCCGTTCCAAGGCGAGCTTTCGGAAATCTTACCAAGGAGCCCCCCACCCCCGCAGGTGTAATCTGATCACCACCTCCCCCACTTTGCAAACGTGGGCTTTAAGAAATACAGGGAGGATTTTTGAAACCCACATATGCATTCCTCAGAGAAAGACCGACTCGCCCAACGACGCTCCCCTCGCCCTGCTCCAAAGCAGCAGTCCCTTCTTTCCTCACCTTTCCTCCCAAGTCTGCAGAAATCACCGAAAAGAACTAGCCTTTTCGCCAGCCATTACCTCCCAGCTGCTCCTCCGGGCGGAAGCCTCTGAGGTCTGTATGTAACGCAGCTCCTCCCACAAGACTGGCCAGGCACGGCTCCCACAGCTCCCTTTCAAGCTCCTCGAGAACGCTCCACCCCCTCTGTGTGATGGGGAAAGCAGAAGGTCCTTCCCTCAGAGAGGGAGGAGAATCTCCAAGTTGAACTAAAATACAGTGAAAGGGAAGAAATCTTCCTTCAAAAATGCTTGAAAGCTTAATGACAACATATGTCTTTTCAATTTGCTTTCAGATCCCTAGGGTGGGAGATTTCCTGGAAAAAAAAAAGAAAACAAACAAAAAGCAACACATCCAAAAATTTTTTGGATGCAGTAAAGAACTCATCGAAGTATTCCTTACACATGTTTGTCAGGCTTTCTCTTGGATTTAGAGTAAAGTTAAGACCTTCTGGTCGGGTCCTGCTGAGAAAGAAAAATGCTCAGCATTTTGCTTCTGGTTGAGGTAAATTAGTAACTTGTTTTAGGTTGAATAATTCTACACGGTTTTGAATCAGTATAGAGACATACTGTGTTTCCCTCAGATCTTATAAACCCTCACCCTTAGGTCGTTCATAAAGAAAAATCTTCAACAAAATGCATTGACAGGGGCCATAGCCATAGTACAGCAGCTTGGGAGGTTGCCTTGCACGTGGCCAACCCTATTTCGATCCCTGGCATTCCGTACGGTCCCCCGAGCACCACGAGGAGCAAGTCCTGAGAGCAGAGCCAGAGCATTGGAACCCCTGAGAGTTACTGCGTGTGATCCCCCGGACCCCGAAAAAAAAAATGCAGTGACTTTCCTAACTACTGAAATTGAAAAAAGTATCAATAGTAAAATTACAATAAGTCAAAGTTAAAAGGCATGAACCTAGAAATGCTTGCAATGAACACAATTGGTCAAATAAAAATAGCCTTGAACTTGTTTTTCTGAGAATCATTAGAACATTGTGATCTTTCTCATAAAGAAAGTCTTGTAAAGTCTGATGTGATTTCTAATTGCACGTTTTAGCAAGCATCTGATTTCATTTCAATAACCAAAACTTCTCAATATTTCAACTCTACAAAAAAAGTTTCACTTTATTGAGACTTGGCAAAATTTTGGAATCAGTTCTGCTGTTTAGCAAGGACATAATGCTAAAACAGTGTTCACTGTAAAATAAAAAATAGGTAAGTAATAACACTTTCTTCGTTAAAATCGTAAGTTCTTGAAAAACGTTGCTTTTCAGAACAAAAAGTCTCTGTTGCTTGTAGGGAGGGAGGAGGGGGTGGTTCTTTTCGTATTGTTAATATTGTTTTCATTTTTCTTTGGCATTAAAATCCTTTCAAAGGAACCCAGATTACCAAGCAGTGGGGAAAGTGACAGTAAAAATGAAGTGATGAACTAGAATGACCTATGTTGGAAGACCTTGGACACTTTGGTCATGGGAGAGCACAGAAATTTTGTTCATCAACACAATATTGCAACTACGCTTCCTAAATGATAAAATGGAAACAAGGGGAATACAGAAAATACACATACCAAAATATAAATAGCCAATATACCAGTGCTGGTGAGGGCAAGATGTTATACTAAAAGATTCAATACACTGCTGGAGTATAAATTAGAATAACTATTTGGGAAATACTTTGCATTATCCCCCAAAGTTGAAAGCCTAGAGAAGTTGACAGAGAACATTTGTCATTTTCCAGTAGTAGGATGGCATGAACTATAGTAGAGGAATGTTCCCTATAGCTTAGTATATTCCAGAGCATGTATAAAACTATCTAAT